TAATGAACTCTGATAGGCTCTCAGGATTCGTATAAGCCCTGATAACTCTTAAAAACCCTATTAGGCCCTGAAAATCTTAGTAAACCTTAATAGACTCTTAGGTCTCTAATAAATCCTGAGGACTCTTATAAACCCTGATAGGCCCTAAGGTCTCTAACTAACCATGATAGACGTTGTGGCCTTTCATAAACCTTGAGAGGTTGTTGAGTTCGTGGTAAATTCTGATAGATTATCGCAAATCTTGATAGACCATGGTGAATTACCAAAGATCCTGGAGATCCTGACAGGCCATCTTAGGGGAATGTGGTTGCTCTTTAATTTCTACACACATATCCTAACCTACGCCGACACTCTCATTCATGTAACACATATCTAATGTTTTGATTTTTGTTTTTTAGATAAGTAATATATACTTTTCTTCTTAACCTAACTATTTCGTGAGGAAATTTTTGAAAAAGAAAAGCAATTATCAGCACTTGACTGATTAAAATGGCAAAACAATATCAAATATTAAATATAATATTGGTACTATTTGCTCTTAGCAGCGAGTTATTAACCATAGAAGCTAATGACAAAAGAAAGGATGGCGTCGCATACTTTCAAGGATCGAGCTCAAAGAACCAAATAGGTGACTTAAAAGGAAAAGTGGCCACATACAATAAAAATGATGGATCAAATGATTTCACTGCCTCCTACAATGGCACATTTGAAGCTAAAAAGGCTGGTGTTTATTTCACGATGTTTGCTGCCCAAATTGCTAGTCCACAGAGAGTTGGTAAAGGAGATATTCATATGTGGATGCAACAAAGTGGTAAGAACGAGCCTAACTCAAATAGTATACAATCAGTCGATTATGGAAGTACATCGGTTCTTGTTTATGCAACAGTTTTTCAAACTCCTGTCGATTGTACATTCGCATTCTTATACTCAGCCTACACAGTTAATGAATGTACTTCTCTCGGTTTGATTGCTACACGACCAGAACACGAACCATTGGTTCCCAGTATTATAATATCGACTGTGCAAGTCAGCAGTGGTACTAACACAATTCCTTATGCACAACTATTCAGCTCCAAAACTCAATTGGGTAACTCGAACTCCGACGTGGTTGTTCTCGATGGTTCTAGTGCAGTCAATAAACTAGACATAACAACAGCGGAAAAACATGGAATCATCAAGTACAATGAAGCAGGTGTTTATTTTCTCATAGCTTGTGCTCAAGTCGGAAGTGCTAAAGATACTGATGCATCGGGTGAAGTTCATTTATGGATGCGGCTTAATGAAAAGGACATGCCAAACAGTAACACAATTAAAACTATTCGCAATGGTAATACAGCAGTCCTAGTCAGTCAAACAGTTGTTAAACTTGAAGCTAAAGATAAAGTCCAACTAGTATTCTCAACTACAAATAAAGAACTGGGTTTGATTGCATCGAAGCCAAAGAATGAGCCACTTGTACCTGGTATATTATTTTCAACATTTCGATTATCTAACGAAGAAAACCCAATTGCATATGCACAACTATCTAGTTCACAATCACAATGGGGCTGTACAACTCCGAAGATAGTTAAACTTGATAACAATGATGGTTCACATCACATCAAAAACAACAATGGTGTCATGGAATTCGAAGAGTCAGGAACTTACTTTGTGATGGCTGCTGCTCAGTGTGGAAGTGACGATGATGATGGTGTTGGTGATGTACGCATGTGGTTGCGACTAAATGGTGAAGATATGGCAGATTCCAACACGATTCAAACAGTAGAAAAAGATACTGCTGTTTTAGTTTGTCAAACTGCTGTCGAACTCAAAAAGGGTGATAAACTCGAAGTAGTACTTGCTACAGATGTCACACAAGGTACACTTGGTTTAGTTGCCACCAAACCACATAAGGAGTCAGCTGTGCCGAGTATTATCGTTAGTGTTTTTAAATCAACCGGTTCAACTACAAACTCAGAATGGACAGAACCTGAGTAAGATTTGCCAATCACGAATAAGACATTCATTGTTGATATCTTTATTAATAGTTTATCATAGATGAGAAAAAGACAAGATTGAAGATGAGATATCTTTTTATTCCGTTCGATTCAAAGATTCTTCTTTTATTTTGATAAAACTAGATTATATATACTTGTAGAAAATCTTATTCATGAAATAGACTAAATGAATTGACTACTCATAATCAAACGGTAGTTCAGCTTTCGAGATACGATACTAAACAATAAGTTGAGTATTTTATACAATTTTTGGTTTAATCCAATGATTAGCTTTCACAAGTATCATTGATAAACTGCTTTGTTAGTATCGTATACATAAATAATACATAAGATTGATATTGTTTTTTGTTTACAGAAAACCGAACGACAAGGAACATGATAAGGAAATCATTGATGATGTCGCATATCTTCAAGCATCTAGTTCAAAGAATCAACTAACTGAATCAAGTCCAAAAGCGATCACATACAATAAAGTTGATAGTTTGAACGGCTATTCTACTGTTACAAATAACACATTTTTATACGAAACTCCTGGTTATTATTTCACTGTGTATGGTGCTCAGGTTGGTAGCGCGAGTGGAAATGGCAAAGGAGAAATTCACATGTGGACACGAGAAAATGGTGCGGACGTTCTTATGTCAAATAGTCTACAAGCAGTTGAACGTGGAAGTTTATCGGTACTCATTTATAATTCACTTATCAAAGCACCAGTTGGTCGAGAAGTCACAGTTTTAATCTCAGCCTACCCATCTAATAAATGTAGTTCTCTTGGTTTGGTTGCTGTAGATGTCAGACACGAACCACTAGTTCCTAGTATTATAAGATCAGAAATTCAGCTCAGTGATATTGATCATCCAGTTCATAATTTGGTTCTACCCAGTTCAAAAACTCAGTTGGGCTCTTCAAACTCCAAAGCAATTACGTATGACCAAGATCAATTTACTGGAATAGGTATACCAACAGCCAGATCAGATGGATCCGTGAAATTTAATGAGTCAGGAATTTATTTTGTCATATTTAGTGCCCAGGGTGGAAGCGCTGCTGGTACTCGTGCTAGTGGTGAGATTTACTTAGGACCACAGCTCAATGGAAAAGACATTCCAAACAGCAATATAATTCATAGTGTTCGCAGTGGTAGTGATCGAGTCTTGATCTGTCAAAGCATTGTCAAAGCTAAAGCAGACGATAAACTCCAAATAGCGTTCTCAACTACAAACGAGGATATTGGTTTGATTGCTGCAGCATCGAAGAACGAACCCTTCGTTCTCAGTTTGATATTAACAGTATTTGAATTAGGTACCATAAACAATCCAGTTCCATATGCTCAACTATCTAGTTCACAATCACAATGGGGGTGTATAATTCCGAAAAAAGTTGATCTCAATAACAACGATGGTTTACATCGTATCAAGAATAATGGTGGTATCATTGAGTTCGAAGAGCCAGGAACATACTTTATGATGGGTGCTGGTCAAGTTGGAAGTTATGATGGAAAAGGTAAGGGTGATGTGCATTTGTGGCTGCGACTAAATGGCAAAGACGTGGCAGATTCGAATACTATTCAAACAGTAGATGGTGATACGACTGTTTTAGTTTGTCAAGCCGTCATCAAGATGGAAGCTGGTGATAAACTTGAACTAATGTTTTCTGCAGATGTTGCAAAAGGTAAACTTGGTTTTATTACCAGTCAACCTGAAAGTAAAGAAAAAGTGCCCAGTATGGTCTTCAGTGCTTTTAAATCAAGTTATACAAAGACTTCTAAGCATTATAACAAATATAACGAAGATTAAGAACTAAGTGCAATTAATAATGACTATCATATAATTTTCCAACATCTATTCGTAGTACTTTCTATTATTTTTATTTCATTTTTGCTAAAATATGTTTTTTTATACAAAAGTTAATTTACTCCTTTAATGTAATTGTTTTTTCGAAAAATAAAATCATTTCTTTTTTCATGACAAAAATCGTTCTCATTCATGTCTGCTTAGTTTGAACAAAGCAATTCATTCTATATTTGAAACTAAATACGTACTTGTCCACTCATTCTCAATGAATTCTTTAGACGAAAATATATATCTGTCTCACAAATATAAATGAATATTGTCGATTATAATCGTCATTATCTCATTATAGTCAATTCTTAATTGGTTTCATATTTATACTTGATTATTATGTTTAACCCTCGAACGGTATCCTCATTTTATGACACGAATGGTGCTATGTGGATCCAGAGCGACCCACATAAAAATAAGTTAGACAAACTTGATTGTCCATAAATTCTGCAGTAGATGCAGTTTATTATACCTTATACTGTACATTTTATCAAAGCCTGAATATATTAGTATACCTGCGATGTATAGAAACGACGAATTTTTTTATGAAAGTTTTTGAAAAAAGGTTATGATAAGATTTTAATTTTAAAATGTTACTGATTGAATAATGTATATGATTGCAATATGGATAGTGGTTATGTAAATGGTTTACTATTGGAATTGAGGGTGTGGGTGATGATGTGCATATGACTGTCTCTGTTTACCCTCACCTTCATTCATACCCACCCACACTCTCAAAATATGTTTAAAAGTATTTTATATAGGGTGTGGATGTGGTTTGAGCGATTATAGGTACGAACACATACACTCCCAAGATAATTGTTCTCTTTTGTCTGAAACAGTAATTTATCTAATGATAATATACAAAATTCAAGATCTTTCACTCCATAATGTCAAATAAAATTATTATAAATCGATATAGTTTTCAGGTTTACTTGATTATGATTTATAGTTTAGACATGTATCCATAGAATCACTAGATTAGAAAGTATATCCAATGGACTTTGTTTTAAAAGAAAGGAAATCATTTTATTTATTAAGAAAAACGAAGTAGAATTATAGAAATAAATGATTATAGAATTATTGTCATAAAAAAAAGATATTTAAAAAGAAAAATTTAATTAAGATAATTGTTTTATTCTCAACGAACTTTTGACTAAATTTCAAATCAATCATAATTATCTTCTGCGTAACTTGATTTCCAAATACTCATAATAATACTGGGTACTAATGGTTCATTATGAGGATGAGTAGCAACTAAACCAATTTTACCTTGTGCAACATCAGTCGAATAAGCCATTTGAAGTTTATCACCAACTTTAATTTCAACAGCAGATTGACAAATTAATACACCAGTATCTTTATTTATTGATTGAATTGTATTTGAATTAGGTATATCATTTCCATTTAGTTTCATCCATAAATGAAGATCACCAATACCATTATTATCTTCACTTG